GTAGTAGTAGTAGTGGTGGTGGAAGTAGGAATGATAGTAGTCGCACTAGGAGCAATAGCAGCAGTGGAATGTATTCCTGTTACGACGATGACTTGGATGTTTGCTTCTGCAAAGTGCAAGCAAATCAACATCGCTAAATCACTGAAGCATGCCGCTGAGCTTTGCTGGGTTGAAGAACAAGTAGGCAGCCGGAACCATCCAAGCATGACCTTGGATGGGGCCAGGAATGCAAGGGGTGGAGTGTTGCAGGAGCCCGTGTCTCAATATTATAACCTAACACCTTTGCACGATGATGTGAGGCTTCTTGCAGCAGGGTGGCTGAGAAATTCTGGAGGCCACAGCCGCTCGACTTCCAGCACCACCTGCAATCCGGAGCTTTGTTGGTTATGTCAAGTGTCATTCTCGGTCGAATGCTGACTACGACTGGACTTCAAGCTTGGTTACGAAGCGCCAAACGCGAAGCCTCAGGTCGACCGTCATTCCCCCGAGTCGAGACAATGTCTTCCAGTCTTGCAGGCTTGAAGCATGCTGTCGTCCTTCAATATGGGGACCTGCTCATTGCTGTGGTATCGTTGCGCAAAACCAAAGCCCAAACTGAATCCCCAATGTCAACCAGCTGAACATCAAACCCTAAAACTCATACAACCCCCTGAACTCCCCGAAACCTGAAACTCCCTCTTCGCCCGTACGAGGGCCTGCAGCTCCTCCCGCAACTGTTTCAGTGCCCCATGGCCACCCTCCGGCCCCGAAGCAGAGGTGTTCACACGCACCACATAGTCCCCCTCTCCTCGGCTGAGTGAGAACCTTTGAGGCGCTAGGCTTTGGAAATTAGGGCTTCCTGATCTTGGATTTTAGAATCTGGTGGTGTATAGCTGTGAGCATACAGGGGGGGATTCTTGAAGATGACCATGCGCAACCTGTGTTTATGTGCATACACACAGACACACCGGACCATTAACATAAGAGTGCACATATATTATTCATAAGGAACCGTTATTGCTATGATTGCCTCTACTACTAATTACTGTTGTTATCATTCTGGTTACAACCACTGCAATAATTGCTGTTTTCTTCGTTGTCCATGTCATTGCTCTTGCTACTGCTGTGGCTGACATGAAATCCGATTGTTCTTGTTGCTATTGCTATTGTTTTTGTTCTTGCTCTTGCTCTTGTTCTTGCTCTTGTTCTTGTTCGTGTTCGTGCTCTTGTTCTTGTTCTTGCGGTGGTTGTTGTTTCAGTCTTCTTCCTGTGTGTGCATACTCAGCAATGGAGGCTAGGAGTGACTGTCAAGCCATCACACGACATAGCTAGTCCAAAGCCCCTATGCTGCTGCCGGCGCACGGAGGCGAAGCATCGGATTGTTTTGTGCCTTGGCAGAATCATACCAGAATGCCAAACAGGCCACTACACAGAAATCAGGAGCAATTCGCGTTTGGTGCCTGTTGTCTCAGGACCCGGGAGTTTGGGGAACTCCTGTTAATTTCGAGGTGCTGGCCTCAAGTGAACTTCAAGTGCTTTTTCTGATCCCAAGGCATCCAGAAATTCCAGACACGATACAAAAAAGTCTGCAAGATTTCTCAAGCTCAAACCCGACTGTGAGGCTGCCTCAGGCTCGGTCTAAGTTCCACTGCTCGGCCGCAGTGCCAGAGGCAGGATCTGGTGGGGCAGAGGAGACATTGCAAGTGAAGAGCCGGGATCACACTCTTGGTTGCAGGTGCACTGGGTCTGAACATTATGGGGTAAGGTCATGTTCCAAGGTCACTGAGTCATGGCCCTTGAACACACAGAACCGTAACCTCGGTGCAACAAGCTGCTTCTCGCTACCGTAGCCAGGACTGAAGATGAATGCGGGCCGGACATGCGGGCATGTTTAAGAGAAAACACACACGAGTATGCAGTACACATGTATACATGCGTGCACACCGCGCGCACACACACACATATATATATATACATACATACACACACACACACGCTTGCACACGTGCAACACATACAATTGCAAGTACATACTCGCACGAAACATAACATGATGCGAACCGTGTAGTCCGGCAACAAGACTTGGACCATACATACATACAGACAGACATACACGCAAACAGACTGACATGCATACATACCTACTTACCTACCTACGTGCTCTTGCGGAACCGGTCAGCTGGGCATGATTTTCAAATATTACACGGCTCCTCCGTGTGCTCTGCGGTACTTCGGTGCGTTGGTTGCGGAGATTCGGTTTTCCATGAGCATCTCCCATCCTCCCCGGCATGGAACACAGGTCATCTCCCCACTTGAGGGGTTGGAAACAATACCGAACGGAATGGGCAGGTGATTAACGCACTGCGCACAACCAAACATGTATGCATCAGTTCATGCACGCATACATACGTGTACATTCTCAATGGAACGGGCACCGGCAGTACACAGACACTTTGAACATAGGCACACGCACACGCAACACACACACACACCGCAACCATATGTATACATATATATACACACACACGCGCGTGGGCACATGTATCTGTATGGGTCTGCGGACAAGTAGACAAACTGACAGACGCACGGTCGCATATGCTGGATGCATAGACGTGTAGATGCACGTGTACATGTATGCACACACAATGGCATCGACGTGTGAATGCATCACTTTATACAGTATACAGAAATCAACTTAAACGTTTCATGCTGTGCCAAGGATGCGCAACCAGGGCTGCCTGCACGAAGCTGTAGGCTTCCGTGGCGGAGCGCTGACTTCGACGGGTAGAGGCCGAAGGGCTCGCCACCTGAATAAGTACGGGGTCAAATGAGTTTATAAAATAGATGTATACGGAATACGGATTGTACATTGCAGTTTACATCATCAGTGTATCGGTATAGTACAGAAACAAAGCTGTCTCTTGTCCTACACTGCATACGTCTACATACACACACATAGGACGTGGTTCAGGTGTACACATATACCTCTGTAGATGTGCGGTTAACATGTACACACACGCAAACGTTGCTCGTGCTTGGCTGCCACCATCTTCATCCGGAACTCGAGAAGCCGATGCTTTGAAGTGTAACCACATCAAACATGTATGTGGAGGTTTTGCTGAGCCCAGGCGTTGCTGCAAGACAGACACCTGGAAACCGTTTTAGTTATATCGGGCTTACCGTGCTTAGCTTTGTGGCAGAGACGATGAGACTCTGCACGTCTCGACTAGAATACTGCTCGCAGTAGTTTCTCGAACCTTCCACAACACTAGTAAAAAAAAACAAGACAAGGATCACACGTCCTCCAAAGTCTTCACGGGGCCACACGGCTGTGCTGGCTTAACAACAACTCCAAACTCTGCCTTGGCGGCGCAGCAGCACCGTGAAGCGGTGTGAGAAGGGCGACTCGGAAACCTCTGCAATACTACGGTGCGGCTGAAGGAACACGTCGCATGCTACCTGATTGTACGACACAAGACTGTGCAATGCAACAAGAGATGGTATGACCTACTAAACTATGATGCAAGCATTTAGTAAGTATGATGTGTTTTAAAGCTCCGCTACAGGGTAACAATATCTCTCAGAAAAGGGATCCCTTTACAAAGGATGCCTCATATCTTTGCTAAAAGGTTCCGGATGCTCGGTTGTGATATCCGGGTTGGGAATGATGACACGACTGCAGACCGCGCTTCTCTTTGCGATGCAGGCGACCTTTTGAGTGCCTTGATCAAGGCACTAGGCTCAAGCTTGCAAACCGTGAATTCAGCAAGAGGCTCAGGGGGTCAACTGCAGATCCACGCTGCATCGGATTCGACGCCGATTGTGCAGCTGTCCGGTGCTGCACCCAGTATTGCTGATTGGGAAGCCTAACTGACTTGCCTAAGCTCCACCTGGCTCCGAATGAAAACGAGAAGTCGCCCGAGCAGCACACAGTACACACAACTTCGCGGCGCAGACATCTCTGGCAGCTAGGGTTCCTTCGGAACCTCAAACCTGGAAGTCGAAAATGCTGCATCCCAACAAAGGGGTCCCCTTGAGATTAAAGGCTGCTGCAACACTCCGCGGCGTCCCACCCTTCTCCATAGGGCTGCTTCCACTCAGCGCACAGCCTCGTGTGAGAGTAAAAACTAGAAAAAGGAAACTGCCAATTGACGAGAGAGCCCAGTACCCCTTCAAGCACAAAACCTGTTTTGTTATGCTCCCGCCTCTCAGGGATTCGAAAAAGACTGATCTGCATAGCAGATGCACTGCGAACTTGGACGTATTTATGGGTATCTGTTTCATAATCATGGTTATCAGGATCTTCAGACTGATCATCGTGGTCCTCGGGATCATCTTCGTCAACCTCAACAAGCAACATCATCATGACCGTCATCATCGTTATCCACAACTTCATCACCATCATCCTCAACATCGTCTGCACGACGTGGTTTGCTTGTTTCGTGTTTTGGAGTTTGTTTTTTTTGGGTGGGACTGGAACCTCGATTGAGGAATAATCCCCAAGTCATACTTGGAAGCCGATTTAAACCCTAAACGCTATTCCCCCTCATTCCGCAAAACTGAGGCGCAAGTTGCCCCTCAACCATGGCTGTCGATCAGTTTCGTTCTTATTCTCGGAACTGTTTTTAGCCGGAACCTTTACGCTCCGAGCGGCGAAGGTTGCAAGTCTGCAAGAGTGCTGCAGTTCATCCGCCACACTTCACTGACATAGACCATAAAGCCCTGGCCAAGAATATGGTTTTCGGGTTTAGGCCTAAGGGCTTGGAATTCAAGGTTCGGGATTGCCTGATAGTGCTGACTAATTGTAACAAGTTAACGCTCCATAGTCTATAGCATAGTCTGGTTACAGTGCATCTGCCTGGGGTGCTACAGTTCTTGGGATTACCAACCCTCTTGAACAAACAACAGGTTTTCCATCTTCGCTCAGCTTCGATGCCCGACGCGATGAACCAGATGGTCGGACATAAACCAAAGAGGAAGCCGCTCCAGACGAAGCGGCAAAAGCCGCCTGAGCCCTTGCCACGGTCACCGACACAAGCACAGCTTTCCACCTGGTTCGGTGCAGGGATCCAAAGTACCTGAACTCTTAATCAAACCCTAGGCCCATACCCAAGACTGGCCTCAAGAGAGGCTTCTAGAGTGCATTATCGTTGTTAAGTTTGGGGGTTATCACTGCTACTACACTGCACCTGTTTTGCTATTCCTCGGCTCATGTTGTAACCCGCCTTCTCCTGGATTCTTGTCCTTGGCTGTGGCTGCACCCCTACAGAAATTCTACAGGAAAGGCGAGAAGACGAATGAGCTTTGGGGAATCTTGGTACAATACTTCTTGGCTTGTTATTTGCGGAACCCCCTAGCCTTGCAAAACCCTAGGCCCCTAAACCCTATGCCCTAGTTCCCTAAATCCTTGATCCTAAAACCCGAAAAAGGCCCAGTGTCTGCGGGCACGGCTTCAAGCACAGAAGCACAGTAATGACGCAGAAGACGAAGAAGAATGGAATACAAACCAAGGCCTTCGTGATTGAAGGTTCTATAGGGGTTCTATAAGGCATTGGGGGTTCAGGGCTGAGGGCATCGGATTACTTTAAGGCTTTCCATTCCAGGTACTACATGGATTAGTCTTTGGAGTTTAGGCCGTTTAGCGCTCTCGGCTTTCGCTCTTTTTGATTCAGGATGTAGCACTAAGGGCTTGGAATTTCAACATCTTGGAAATGGAAGTGATTTTGGATTCGAGTCCATAGGACACCAGAGGACGTCTGTAAACTCCGCAGCGCAAAGCAGGTCAGGAGGCTCTGAGCCCTAGGATTTTGATAGTATATCACAGTATATCAGAGTATATTACACTATAGTATAGTATATCATAGTACATTAATTACAGTATATCACGAGACTAGCGTCTCGATGTAAAGGCGATGATTCATATTATGAAAAGGCATGATTGAGGAACAGTCTTACTATTCTGATACATCTTCTCGTATGTGCAAATGCAATGCCGGGGTTACACACTTAAACACCCCATAAAAAGAACCTTCAAACCCTAAACCTCACACAAACCCCGAAACCTTCAAACCCTGAGCCCCATGTTCTCAAAACCCTTTACATCCCCGAACCCTCCCTAAAGCCGTAACAGCCGACACCCCGAGCTGCAAAAGTCCTCCATGGTGCAGATCCCAGGGGCAAGAATCAAGGCCGTTGTGGCGCTGCGTTCGATGCTTTCCGGGGTCGCCTCAAGTTTAGGCTTCAGGCTTTCGGGCTAGTGAAAGTGCACAGGATTCAGCTCCCAAGAATTGGTCTGCAAAAGCGTTTACGGCGGTTTGCTGCCGGTTGGGCTTCGTTCGGCACTCTTCCTCAGCTTTGGGGGAAGCAGCTTTTAGAAGCCTCTGGCCGCCGTAAAGCTTGCAGTTCAGGGGAGGACAGACAGGGCAGGATCTACCTTGAGCCTAAAACGTTTCGGCTTCAGGGTTGGGGGGCCTGAAAACTGAAAGCCCTAAACCCTAAACCTGTTTGACATGTCAGGTCTCCGCGGTGGATCCTTGCCAGAAGCTGCAAGCGAGCAGGATCGAAAGCAGGTGAAGACGGGTCTCTCGCCGGCAAAGCATGGCGACTCGTGTGGCCCTGATCTGTCAAACGATAGCCCCGACGCTGAGCTGCATCCCGCACCTAGTCACCCGAATGTCATCCTACGTAACTCACTCCAAAATGCTGCGGCCCCCGCGTGAGAAGTAAGGACGCTGAGGTCTTCAGCCATAAATGCTGCAAAGGTTCAAGCCGCAATCTTGCTCATGTGCCGCATAAGGGGATTGCTTTGGCAATTATTTGGTACCATTAACTAAGTTTAAGGAAAAGATGAGCCTTCGAGGACAATGATTCTGTAACTCTGTATACTTCCAGATCAAGGTGGTCTATGTTCTACGAGTCGAGGACTGAGACATGAATCTATGACGACCGGAGCATCGCGTCGAGGCAGCTTACTGTCATTTTCAACAGAACGCAGTTCGGAGATCAACTCCGGTCTGAACTGGGTGCTTTTTTGGGGAGGATGTGCTGTACAGGAACATGCTTGGAGAGTGCCTGCTTCTGGGTACCCAATGGCCCAATTCCGAGAACCTGACAGCAAATGACTCACCCCGGAACTAGAACGAAAGTGATGGAAACCGCAGGTCCGCATTGCCATCCGAGGCCCCCGCCTCCGCTCCTTCTTTTGTAAAGAGCTTGTGCTCGTACTTCGCCCGGATGTATTGCTCCTGGCTCGCTCTCGTAAAGCTCGGAGGCTCACGGCTTGGAGTTTACGGGTTTAGGCTCTAAGGTTTGGGTCCTTGGGGCTTCAGGGGCTGAGGGTCTAGAGTCGAAGGATCTAGGCTTTAGAGCTCTGATCCCCATGCTACTCTGCTCTACGAGGCTTAGAGTCTTCAATGAGGCCCCAAACCCTGCAGACTCTCTGGGCTTGAGGATGAACTAAGCCTTCTCGCCGTAGCACCCGCATACAATAGTACTCACCGTCGTCATAGCACTAGCAACCCTAATGGTAGGACAGCAGCATTGCTAGAAATGAGGGAACAACAAAAAATCGCAGTCCTAGCTACGAACAGCAACAAGGATAGAAACAACAGACAACAAGTCGAGTAACAAGCCCAGTATACCACAACTCATACAGCTGCAAACCCTAAAACAGTACAGTAACACCGACGGCCAAGGGTCAAGATGGTATGCGCTGGCAGATTCGATACGGTCGCCACCGGAGCTTAGCGCCTGAGGGCCGGGGCAGGAGTCTCGAAGTTACACATCCGGCAGCCTTCGAGACTGAAAACCGACTCTGTTCGAGCCTTGAGTTGGTAGTAGCTAATATCTTCTTGCACCCAAACTCTCATGGCCCAAGAATGGCCCATGTCCTTCAACTTAAGCTTACATGCCGCAAGTCCCTGGAATCTGACAAAGTCCCAAACACATGATCTCAATTGGCAATTCTCGCACCCCCTAAGACCCCTTTCCCGGAAACGTCCCGAAACCGTAATTCTTCATTTCAACTTTGCATGCCTTAGGCCGTAGACTTTAAACCTTGAAACCCGAAATGTCGAAATGCCTCCGGCTTCGTCCACGACCCCGGTAGCGACGCTTCGAAGCGCTCGGCCCCTTTTGCGTTGCCCTGCGCGAGGAGCTGCTGAACCTCTGCAAGTCTCCCGGACACCGAACAGGCTCTGCGGCGAAAACAGTTGGACTGCAAACGTACTACAGTATCTGTGCTGGTAGGACATGTCGGGATGTATGTACGCATCAGTATGTTTGTGTGTGTGTGTGTGCGTGTGTTGTGTGTGTGTGTGTTTGTGTGTGTGTGTGTTTTTTGTTTGTTTGTTTGTGTTTGTGTGTGTGTGTGTCTGTACGTCTGTCCGCATCTCCGTATGACCGTCCGTCGGTCGGTCTGTCTGTTTCTCAACATGTATATGTGTACGCATGTAATGTCAGAGTGACCTCGTGAAACACATGATTTCCAGCCATAGCATCCAGCATGAGTTGATCGTCTTCCTGGTGCGGCGCCAGGNNGAAGATGCTGACTGACAAGATTCTTCCCCTGATTGTTGAGGCATCCGATGGGACCGACAATGTGATGGCGCATGTGGTACTGCACGTTGCTGTGCAGATCTTCGTGTGGTCGCATGGATGGATGGATGGATGGATGGATGGATGGATGGATGGATGGATGGATGGATGTACGTGTATGTATGTGTATGTATGTGTATGTATGTGTATGTATGTGTATGTATGTGTATGTATGTGTATG